AGGGCGCTGGTGCAGGGGACCTGCGCTGGTCTGGGCGTGGGGGCGCGGGTGCCTGGAGCCTGGAGGGCGGGGGAAAGAGCCCCCGCACACGTACCTGCGGCAGGACAGGGGACAGACGGAAAGTGTCCCCAACTTCTCTAGGAGGCAGCAAGAGCACTCCACATCCTCGCAGGGAGCTGGGGTGCATTGCGGGGAAAATAAAGGCCTTGGATGTTGAGAGATTTGTCTCAGACAAACCTGGAGAAGTTCTAGCCTGTCTTCCTATCTTGTGCCTTTTTCATGACCAAGCTTGGCCCTTTGGGGGGCCTTTGGGGACAAACTAGAGAGTTCATCTCTGACCCCGATCAATTGATTGACTGACTGATTGATTCTGCACTGCAAATATGTTCTTAGATCACACTGCATTGTTCTGGGCTTTATGGTGAGCAAAGCCCAGAGATGCTGGCCCACAACCCCTTTCCTCCGACCCCTCAAATGAACAAAGCAACAAAACCTTTTCCTCTAAAATGCCTTTCTTCTGTCTTGCCTTGTTTCATTGCTACAGATTAAGCGAACAGGTTTGTCTCCAAACCTCCAAATTGGATGCGAAATTGTGGTGTCTATGTGTGCATTTTTGAGGAGAGCTTCCATAGATTTTATTTGATTCTCCCAAAGATGAAATAGCTAAACGCACAGCTTTAGGCCCGTCAACATGGATGTCCTGATGGTCTCTGTCTTTGGAGGGCCTGAGTTGCAGATTCTTATTTGAAAGCTGGGATTCGGAGAGAAGTTGGAGGGAGAGATTCTCTCACGGTTCAGGGAGGACAATATTCACCCACCAGCACAGATTTGTCTGAGCTGAGATCTGGTCTGTTTTCCACTGGTAGGAGATAAAATGAGTTTGCAAATATATAGATGAGGAAACCAAGGCGAATCTTTGTGAATGGGAGGCCTATCCTGGTTTCTTCTTGGTAACCAAAAGTGAGCCCCGCGGTGGAGTTTCCAGGAGCGCTGAGGGAAGGTGAGAGGCGCAACGGTCCCCTGGTCCACTGGAAACTTGGGAGAAGAAGGAGGGATTGGATGTTAACCCAGCCTTGGAGAGCACCAGGAAAACCTGGGGTGTATGTGGGGGTAAGGCCGAGGGATGCCCTGTGGCAGGGCGGGGGGGAGGAGTATTAACAGATATCCTTGAAAAATCACAGATATCCTTGAAAAATCACATTTCATCAGTAATCCCACTTTATTTGTTTCCCACCAAATGGGCAGGAATACTATAGACATAAGGAAGTAAAAGCTGCCACGTGAGTAGAGGCAGTATTTCTGGTCCTGCCCCCGTTATCCCAGTGTGAGGTTCATGGACAGGCTGGCCCTAGGATAATGGTCCCCAAAACACTGACATCCTGCAGGTAGCTTCAAGCAATCCCAATCTCTTCCCAATTTTAGAGAAAAAATAGAGGGTAAAATTAAAATGTGTTTTTTTTTCCTTTATAAAATTTCCCCAAATCTTCAGTGCCTGCTTTTATTTGTGTGACATCTTGTTTAGGTCAGAATTATATATCTGGTTACGTTGAGACGTGAGAGATCATTATTTCCAGCTTAAAAAACGCCCATCAGTTCTAGGTGGCCTGAGATCCACTGTTGTCGCAGAGTAGGGAACGCATCGCATTACTCTTTAATGTCCTTTGAATGGAAATGCTTCCCTTGTGGACACCCGGAGCTCTGGTGGCAGCAGGGAATGGCACAGGACCTGGGGCTGTCGAGGAAAGAAACTGCCTCATTCTACTTGGCTCGCAGCCCAGAACAGTGTTTGTCTGCTGTTCTTAACTTCACACGTATTTTGTAAACTTAAACCGCTCTTTTGGCGAGCTTTGTGGGAGAGGGGTTAAATTGCTTAGCCCCTCCTCCCTTACAATTGGTCAGTCTGCTTCATTAAATCCCAAGCTGAACTGCTGTTTTTCAAATAATAAAGTGGTTGTTTCTACTTACAACCTGTCTTTTCCTGATAGGATTATTGGTTAAAATGGCCCCATCACACCGCAGAGGTTTATTTGGCAATGGCAGAAATTAATTTTGCCCCTTAGTTAAAGTCATTAAAGAACCACACTTTTAAAAAAATAATAATAGTAATAATAAGTGCTGCTTCACTAGCCCTTCAGCACAAGATACATTTTATTGATGTTGCTCATTGTTCTTTTATGTATTCAGCAAATATTTATTGAGCACCTTCTGTGTGTTGGGCCGCTGTTTCTGCTTTCAAGGAGTTGACAGATAAGCCCTGTGGACTTGAATCTTGATTTGCTAAGAGCTGACTTCGGGAGGGGCCGCTTCAGGAACACCCCGACCATGGCCATATTCGTTGGATTTCCATTGCTGCCTCCTCTCCGTGCATGAGTCCATTCCCCCTGGTGTTGGCCAAGGGAGAAGCTACTCACTGTGGTTTCCTGCCTCACTGCACCCTTGCTGGTCAGCAGTGCCCGACTCCTGTCATCTCCATGGCTGTGTAGGTGCTGGTTCTGTGAAGAGCATGGCCAGTGAACGTCAATTAACTAGCCAAGGAGAGAAGCATTCACTCTGGGTAGGTCATGCATGGTCCCAGGGAGCACTGGTTTCTCTTGGGAGGACCCTAACAACTGCCCAGTGGCAAGTTACACATCCCTGGGCTACTGTTTTTCTAATTCATTCAGAATAAAAGTAATAAATGTTTAAGTGCTTTCTAATCTGCACCCAACATGAGAGCTGGAAGAATATATTCAACACCAACCAACAGGGAAGGATTCTACTAGTTTTGGATTGGTTCAGTTGGGCCAGTCGGAAGGATATTTCTGTTGCTACACTGAGGAAAAGCTTGATGGTACAGATTTTATTACCAGATAATAGCAGTAATGGTGGCAGGCACTGATATAGATGTGCCACGCACCTGTCAAAACACTTTATGTAGATTAACTCATTTAGTCTTCTCTCAACCCAAAGTGGGTACCATTATTATTGACATTTTAGCTTTGGATCAGACAATTTAGAAGTCTGATTTATTGAGCACTTATTTCCCTCTTGCCTACTCATTGTGAGAGGCAGCCCAGCTCTGCAAACAGACTTGCCCTGTTCTCTAACTGGATTCACTATTAACTAGCAGTATAACCTTGAGCAAGTCATTGCCTTTCTGTGCTTTAGTTTTCTCATCTGTAAAATGGGGGTGATGAGGGCACTATTCCATTAGGCTGCTGTCAGGATTGAATGAATGTACATATGTAAGATACTTAGAAGGGTGCTTTGTACACAGGAGGCACTATGATGTTTATTATTAGCTATTCTTTTTCTTTCCAGCTTCATCTGCCAATACCCCCTAATATAGCAGCCATGCTGAGCTACTTAGAGTTCCCCTGGACCTCCTCAACTCTCATACGTCTCTGCCTTTGCATATGCTATTTCCTTGCCTAGAATGACTTTCCTACCCTCTTGCTATGTCAGCTTACATGTTCCCTCACATGTAACTTACCTTTAATGCCCTCTGTTATTCTCCAGGTAGCTGTTTCCACTCTTCATTAAGATCTTAGCAGCCTTGTACCATTCATCTATCAAAGGACTTAGTGATTAACAATTACCTAACAATTATTGAGCACTTATGTGCCCAGTAGTGTCCCATGTATTTTTCTTGATTTTCTTTTTATATATTGACAGCTCTATGAGGTAGGGTTATATTTGCTTAAATTATTTCCGTGTTCATCCCCCCCAGTAGACTGTGATAGTCGCTTGTACATTTGTGTGTTATTCATTTCGTATCTCTAGGACCTGGCAGAGTGCCTAATTAATACACAGTGGGCACTCCATAAATGTAAAGGGGATGCATTTTTACCAACAGCTGTTTACATTCAAATAATAAGCTAATTGTAAGTAATTCTTTTATAGAATCTTCATGCTTTTCTCACTGCAGAAATTCACTCTCAAAATTTTAGAAAACACCGATAAGAAAGAAGAAGGAAGTCCACATCCCACTCCTCCCAGCCCTAGAGAGTCTAAACAACTTGCTTAGGGAAACACAGCTGGCTACTCATCAACCAAACTGAGAATCCAAGTCAGGCATCTGGTGATAGAGCCCAAGCTCTTAAGGCTGTGATACTGTTGCTCCTCTTCCTCTCCACCTCCAGCCCCCGGCCCTCCACCCCCACACACAATGAACAAATTATGTTAGCTTATTAACGTGTGTTGGAAGAGCTGAAATTTGAAATGAAATCTACCATACAAACAACGGTGCAATGCATGAAATCTACATTTTAAAAAATTTTAGTATTCAGTCTTTTCATGCCTTTGTCCTTTCTGTTCTTGTCAGTTTTTTAGAGGCAGCGTAGTGAGGTAAGGTAGAAAGAGCATAGCTGTGGCCCTGCCCTTGGAAATGTTAGCAGGGACAGGTTGCATAACCTCCCGCAGTCTTCGTTTCTTTCCTGAAAGGGCTATAATAAGAAACACTTCTCAGAGTTTTGTCAAGTAAGGCAGCCAAGTGCTTGATTCACGGTGGGTCTTGCCCAACAGAAATCTTGCCAAATTGTTCTCCCCATGTGGGTGTTTTCTTCCCCACTCCTTCATTTTAATCCTCATGGTAATTTAACTTTTACATTATTATTAGATGTCTTTAGTAACTTGTCTCACAGCCATTTTCTTAGAAATTCAATTTCATCTCCTGATGAAAGAGAAAAAAAAAAGTGGCAATTTAAAAATGTTAGAGCAATTTTCATTTAAAAGTGGATCAATGTTTTCCTTACCCTGTCGTTAATGTTTTCTGTTTTCTTTTTATCAGCGAGTTACTTCTCAGTCGATTCATATTGCCAAACTGCCCTCTCTTGTTTTCTTACAAGATGAAAGGAGACAACCATGAATGAGCCACTAGACAATTTTACAAACACTTCTGATTTCCCCGATTATGCAGCTGCTTTTAGAAATTGCACTGATGAAAAAATCCCACTCAAGAAGCACTACCTCCCTGTTATTTACGGCATCATCTTCCTGGTGGGCTTTCCGGGGAACGCAGTGGCAATTTCCACTTACATTTGCAAAATGCGGCCCTGGAAAAGCAGCACGGTCATCATGCTGAACCTGGCCTGCACCGACCTGCTCTATCTCACCAGCCTCCCTTTCCTGATCCACTACTACGCCAGCGGCGAAAACTGGATCTTTGGCGATTTCATGTGCAAGTTCATCCGCTTCGGTTTCCATTTCAACCTGTACAGCAGCATCCTCTTCCTCACCTGCTTCAGCATCTTCCGTTACTTTGTGATCAGCCACCCGATGAGCTGCTTTTGCATTCACAAAACTCGGTGGGCCGTGGTGGCCTGTGCTGGGGTGTGGATCATTTCCCTGGTGGCTGTCGTTCCCATGACTTTCCTGATCACATCAACCACCAGGACCAACAGCTCTGCCTGCCTTGACCTCACCAGTTCAGATGACCTCACTACCATCAAGTGGTACAATCTGATTTTGACTGCCACGACCTTCTGCCTTCCCCTGGTGATAGTGACACTCTGCTATGCCATGATTATCTACACCCTCAACCAAGGGCCGAGGACTCACAGCGGCCTGAAGCGGAAAGCTCGGAGGCTAACCATCCTGCTACTTCTTGTGTTTTATATATGTTTTTTACCCTTCCATATCCTGAGGGTCATTCGGATTGAATCTCGCCTGCTTTCCATCAGCTGCTCCGTTGAGAATCAGATCCATGAAGCTTACATCTTTTCTAGGCCCTTAGCCGCCCTGAACACCTTTGGTAACCTGTTACTGTACGTGGTGGTCAGCGACAACTTTCAGCAGGCCATCTGCTCCATGGTGAGATGCAAAGCCAGTGGGGACCTGGAGCAAGCAAAAAAGATCAGTTACTCAAACAACCCTTGACAAACTTCACTTACTCAACCAAAGAGAAAAGCCTCCTGGTACTTCCCCTGTACTTTCTAATTAGGCCAGAATATCTCCTTCAGTGGAACTCAGTAAACATTGTGCATTCATGTGTCAAGGCCAGGGCAGAACTGCTGGAGTCCTTTGCAACCCACTTGTTGAGTTCCTTCCTTAGGTAGACCTAAGAAGGGGCTACATGCATATCAGTAAAGGGTTAAAATGTACAACTGGAACTATTAAAACTCAGGGCCCTGTCGGAGGGAAAACACTTGCCCTCGGTCTCAGTAAGTTAGCACCTATAGGAGAAAGACAACTTTCACTCATGGTTTTATACTCCTTTATACTGGGGCCTATTTGTACTGAACCCCAAGACTATTCAAGGCACTATTTGTATCTTTTTCAATATTCTTTTTTTTTTACATTTCATATCTTTAAACCTCTTTTTCAAATTTTGCTTTGAGATTATTAAACTATATTTTTCACTAAGCTTTAGTCAATTTTGTAGATTAAAGCAAGTCAGTACCATCCACTTGAGATTTCAAAGATGTCAATGCAAATGACTAAAATGAATACCTGCAAGGTAATTGGGGTATTATAAGTATTGTTATAGATAATTTTTCAAGTTGTTATTAGATTTATAAAAAATATCAAGTTAATATTGGTTATTACCAACATGTTCTGGGGAGGGAGGAGGAACTTTTGGGGAACAGAAGTACTTTTAAATATCATGTATATATTGTGTATTAAACAAAATCTAACATATTTGTTATTTCTCTCTGTGGGAAAATATTTCAGGAAATACTAATTCTCTTTACATACCTTTCTCTTTTATGACTATCATGAAATTATGACTTCTATTACAATAGCTAAGCTATTTTTGAGTTGTGTATATGCTGAATTATCACTAAGTATAAATATCTGAGAAAATGCCTAGTCTGAATATTTATACACCTAGCAAATGTGTTGGTATAATTAATAAACTAATTTTAAAATCATTAGATTGGCTGGTAATATTTTTTCTGTGAAAACACAGCTTTGCCACAATTATATTTAGATGAAGGTTATGTTTACAAAACAAAAATAATTCCAAGAATCAGTTCTAGAATAAGGCTGGAATAGATAATTTAAGCAGAAGAAAGGTTACCATAGGAACTCTTTGTGGTTTCCAGGTTCTTCTAGGACATTACATCTGATATAGACCTAATTAAGGACGCTCCTCAGGAACCTCTCTCTGCCGGGCATGCCCGGATAAGAAAGAGGAAAGTCAATAGTTCTTTACATGAACTTTCTGGATGATGGAGTTCTCTCCACCCATCACCTTCCAAGTCATCTCTACTCCTGGACCTCACTAGAGCATATGGAATGAGCTATTTCACTAGAGGGCCAAGCATGCCTGTCCATGTGGCTGCATAGCATGGAGTAGCATTCAAGGGTCCATTTGGAACCTGGACACTAGGTAGTTCTTCTCTCCCCTCTCCCTACTACCCAGCCCAGCTCCTGGGGCAACACCAAAGTGTAATCAGATTAGCCTTTACGCCACTGCTGCTGTTATTCTAGCCCAGGGCATAAACCCCTTATCTATCTCTCTTCTCTCCTCTCCTCTCCTCTCCTCTCCTCTCCTCTCTCTCCCTCTTCTTATTTCAAAGTCTTCACCCACCTGAGAAAAATCACTTCAATCTCCTTCATGTCTATTTCAACTTGTCTCTGTAGCTTCTTTTATCCCTTTCATTCTATCAATTTACAGAACAATAAATCATCTCTCTGATATTAATTCTTCCACTTTGTCTTTGGTCCTTATTCTGCTTTCTTAGGGACCTCCTCTGACAACCAATCCCACTTTCTCCATTTTTTAACATTTCTATTACCCTGGATAATTGACCTTAGCTTGGGAAAGTGTATAATTTTCCTTTATCCTCAAAATACCTTCCTTGGATTCAGCTGTTCTGTCATTTTCTTATCTGGCTTGTTCCCTGCAGTTATGGGTCAGGTTCAGATGACTGTCTGCGTCCCAGGGTTCTGCTGAGAGAATATAATCACACAGATCCAAGCTAAATTGGATTCAAAGGGTAAGTTTTATTTTCCAAAGTAAAGAGTTCAGGGCTGTTCAGGGCTAATTGTGCTGGAGAATGCAGTTTGGAACTGAGGCCAAAAAAGAGATTGATGATACTTTCAAGGCCAGAATGGGACCCGAATGACCTTGCCTCACATGCCCAGTTGTAGGCAGAGAAAATGTAGGAACAAAAGGCAGAGCTCTGACTGTCTGCCAGGGAGGGAGCTGCCTGCTTGGTCTGCTGTCTGCACAAGGACTGGAGGCTCAAGGCAAGCTCACTGCCTCTGAGTGCAGGGAACTCAGAAAAAAAACCTGTAATGAACTTTGGAGACACAGTAACTCCTTCATTTTGTTTTTTAATTTAATATCATGGAAATTTTAAGTATTCACAAAATTAGAGAAAGTGATAAAATGAGCTCACATACCCATGCCTTAATTTCATCAATAATCAACATCCTACCATGCTTCTCCTGTTAACCCACCTTAGTGTCTGTGTGTCCTTCTGGACCAGTGCAGGCCATTTCGGTTTCCCCCGAGAAGGCCCCCAGAGGGGGCAGTGCAAGATATTGATAACCACAAGTTGAACCTGGCTCATGTGGCTCAGTGGTTGAGTGTCAACCTATGAACCAGGAGGTCACGGTTCAATTCCAGTCAGGGCACATGCCCAGGTTGTGGGCTCGACCCCCACTGTGGGACATGCAGGAGGCAGCGGATCGATGATTCTCTCTTGTCATTGGTGTTTCTATCTCTCACTCTCTCTCCCTTCCTCTCTGAAATTAATAAAAATATATTTAAAAATGAATAAAATATATTTAAAAAACAAACAAACAACAACTACAACATCATGGAGCACTTAAGACTAAACATTACTTCCTGTTCTAATTTTATTCTTAAATTCTACCCAGCAACACCATTTGATATAATAATCTTCCTGATACTATGTAATGAGCCCAAATGATATCAAATGATACAAGGCCAGCAATGTAAAAATGCCTAAGGTAGAGAGCCCTTTCCATTATTGAGCTTCAGGAAGAAATTAAATTATAATTTTTATGTTATTTTCCTTCAGCACTTTCATCTAAATATTTTCTATTGATCTGCCTTTCATTAATCCTGCCTTATATATATGCAATTTGCTATTAAACCCATTAGGAGAATTCCTAATGTCAGATATTATATTTTTTATCATTTATAGAATTTACATTGGATGCTCTTCACTAGTTCTACCATTTCAATGAATTTCTTCTCCTTATAATCTATTTTGGTCTGTTTTTCCCATCTTTTCTAGAATTGAATAATCATAGGTATTTTAAAGTCCTTATCTGTCCACTTCAATATCTGGATTACCTTTGAGTCTGCTTCTATTGTCTGCAATTTTCCTTATGTTTATGGGTTACGTGATCCTGTCTCCTTGCATGTCTACTTTTTTTTTTTATTAAATGACAGAAATTGGATATGAAAGAATCAATAAGTCTACCCTGAGAGATTTTTGTTAGTTTATTGTTCTATTATAAAATTTCCATTCAATTTCACTTCTCTTATACAATTCTCTCTTATTCACTAAATAAATCGTATTTTTCTTTGACTCTTTAGATGTATTTATATTGCTGTTTTAACATATTTGTCTATTAAATCCAGCATCTTGTTTGTATTACTTCTCTCTGGATGCTATAATAGATTACTGCAAATTTAGTGGCTTAAATTATACCACAACCTTTCTCTCTCTCAGAGGTCAGAAGTCTGAAATCAGTTTCACTGGACTAACGCCAAGGAATTGGCAGTCCTCCCTTACTCCTGAAGGCTCTAGAGGAGAATTAATTTCCTTGCATTTTCTTGCTTCCATAAGCCACCTTCCATCTTCAAAGCCAGTTCCATATCATCTTCAAATCTCTCAGACCTGTGCTTCTATCTAAATCCCTCCTCTCTCTAATTCTCCTGTCTTTTTATAATTGAAACTCTTGCAATTGCATTGGGCCTACCCAGATAATCCAGGATAATTTCCTCATCTCAAAATCCATATTTTAATCACATCTGCCAAGTCCCTTCTACTATGTAATGTAACATAGTCACAGGTTCTAAAGATTAGGAAGAGGACATTTTTGGAAGGCTATTATGCAACCTACCGCAGCGGTTTCTTAAATAACAACGGGCTAAAGTAACAATAATAACCATGTAGAGTGTCCTTGAGGTCAGTTTTTAATTGCTTTTCTTTTCTTGGCTATTGGACATGTTTTTTTCTGTTTTGTGTGCGTAATGGTTTTTACTGATTACTGGATATTGTAAATAAATCATCATGGTGACTCTAGATTCTATTATTGTCTCTGAAGGTTGTTGCCTTTTTCTCTAGGAGACACATCAATTTCTTGCTTACCTTGGAATTGTGTTGACTTGGTTTTACAAATTTTTAAGAACAGATTTGTGAAAAGCCCAAGGTGTTTCCCAAGCCCTTCCAATACAACAGGACTCAATCTGGTTCTTCTGTACTCTTATCCAGACTTGGTGTTAGGGTTTTTTGTTTGTTTGTTTTCTCAAAGCATATCTAAAATAGACTTCACTCTAGAGTCTAGGCCATTGTCTTTATTCCCAAGGCAGTTTTCTGCTGTCTCAGCAAGCTGAGTTAGCGGGATGTTAATGAGGTTTTTTCTCTCTGGATGGGCTGGAACACCAATGTCCCCTAGCACTGCTTACCCACTAGAATCTCTGAGGCCATAACAGCCTCTTTTTTATTAATCTCAAGTAGTCTCTCCCTGCAAACACAGCCCTTGGCCCAGGAATCTCAAGGAATCTCCATGCATTTCTGCCCATGATTCCTTCATCACTGATGCTCTGCTGCAAATATGTTAGATATGTCAACAATTTCAAACTCTGACCTATGCCTCCTCAACTAAATGGGACCACTATGCTCTGCTCAGACTCCAATTCTCTGTACCACGGTCAAGAATTGCCTAGCCAGAGAGCTGGGGTGATTGTGTTGCTTTGGCTATTGTCCTAAGCCTGAAAACATCAGCTTCATATATTTTGTCCAGTTTTATTGTTGTTAACAGTATGTGCCACTGTGATCTACCCCAGGTGAGGGAGCAGGTCCCATACTTCCTGCCTTTTCCATTAATGCTTTCTTATTCACCCTTCTAAAATGTGGGAGAGACCCCAATTTAAACATATCTCCTCCCCTAAAATGACAATGGAAATATAGCTATAAAGACATTGAAATTTTTGGAAACATAAAAAGGATGGATGAATGGTGATACGAAATGGAAATAAAGCTGGTAGTGGAGGGAATCCAGAGGCAAGCTAATGTATTCTGCTTAACTGCGAAATGCTCAAGAATTAGAATGACCAGCTACCTCTGAAAGAGGGTTATAGTGGGACTGACAATAAGAGATTTGATTTAAAGCCTGAATAAGAGACAATTACATCCCTAGATATTCTATTTTGTCCTATGCAAACCAATGACTGCTCCTTTTCCACACCAAGAAAATGCTAAGCTTTTCATTCTGGGGAGGTTGAAGCAGAAAGATTCTTAACTTGAAGACAACAGACACAATTAAAGGTGGAGTGAAAGTGAGGTCCTAGATACTAAATAGAAACATTTGGCTCTGATAACCCTTGCAGTTCATGCATACGTTCCCTAGCAGAATATTGGTGAATTATTCTCTAGGGCAGTGGTTCTCAACCTGTGGGTTGCGACCCCTTTGGGGGTCAAACGACCCTTTCACAGGGGTCGCCTAAGACCATCGGAAAACACATATAATTACATATTGTTTTTGTGATTAATCACTATGCTTTAATTATGTTCAATTTGTAACAATAAAAATACATCCTGCATATCAGATATTTACATTACGATTCATAACAGTAGCAAAATTACAGTTATGAAGTAGCAACGAAAATAATTTTATGGTTGGGGGTCACCACCACATGAGGAACTGTATTAAAGGGTCGCGGCATTAGGAAGGTTGAGAACCACTGCTTTAGGGGAATGGAAACTATAGCCATAACAGATACAACTAGTGATGTACAAGATCCTGTTTTAACCGTTTTCTTCACAAATCCAGTCAATCTAACTTTAGAGCCCTCGTGCAGAACCACTGCACTCTGCTGATTTGCACAAAGAGACAGAGTTTTCTAGATGCCAGTTGGGGAACAGCTCAGCCTGCTCTCCCACAGTGATGCCCACTAGTTGACCTGCCTTGTTGACTTAGCTTGGTAGTGTCTCACTCTTCAGAATGAGTGGACAGCCACCAATAACCAGGCAACTGTAGAGACCCTACCCTGTATTAGGAATCAGAGGTTCTAAAATGAAAAAATGGGGTGAGGGAGGGGCATTCAGGGAAACAGAAACAATGTAGGGAGCATAAGAAACAAAATTTTTAAACCTATAATTAAGACTCTCAGAGACATCCTTGAAAAAGACCAGGAAGTTCTAAAGGAATGAGCATTCAAAGAGAAAAGGAAAAAGAAAAGAGCTCTTGGATGGCTTAAGCAGGGGCATATTAGAGGGCATGTTCCAACTGCCCTCCATGAACTGCCTACAAGTTGGCACGTGCTATGCACTGGGAGGTAGGAGTATTCTTGGCCTCTCCTTTTAGTCTATTCTAACGTATATCTAAAAGAACCTCTTCCAGGCTGGTAGTATGATGCTAGAGTTATTCTTGATTTCAGTGTAGGAGAAACATTCTCGGATTTTTGTTGTGCATTTCAAAGGTGTTAGGAAAGTAGGGTTTTTAAAAGTGCATCTAAAGCACCATGTTTTTTGGAGTTGTTCTATTTTTCATATTTACTTTGTCTCTATGATTACATATTATACGATGTAGGAGTAGTTTTATGTGATTGCATAATAGCATGTAATTAATTTTTCATGATTTTGGAAATATGCCCACAGCCTGAGCACATTGTTTTTCTTTCTAGAAATGCTTGATAACATTACATTCATGTTTCTGAAGGGTGTTTTTTGAATTAATCACAATACCTTCTGAAAATACTTGAAAAATAAAACATAGATGCATAAAACATTCTTCATTCAGTTTCAATCTTTGCTTGTTGAGCACAGGTATTTATAGTACAGAGGAATGTATGGCTACATATTTAGGACTACAATATCAATTTTAACTCCTATTTTGTTAAATAACACCAGCATCTTTTGAACCCCTACTATGTGTAAAACACTGTGCTATACCCTGAAGATAGAAACCTTAGTAATAATCAGTTCTATTTTCAAAGATACTATAATATTGCATATCAGCTGCATTATCCATATGGGCCTTTTGGGTTGAGCATTTATGTTATGCTGCAAGTACTTACCAAAACTCAATGAAATGTCTGTTCAGTTCTTTTTGTCATTATAGTTTATCATTATTCTAAAGAGCTAAATCCAAAGGGAGTGTTTCGGGAACATATATAATTATCTAATCCCTCTAATCAATAGCCCTAAAATGCATTCTAAATGCTAAATGAACAGAAATATCCTAGGGTTTTAATTGTACATGGTTAAATGCCCCATTTATCTGTTTAAATCCACTTAGGTGATGAACTATAGGGCAGTACTTGGTGTTACATACTTAGTATTATCCCATTTTCAAAGACAGCATTATAAATATCTGAATCTTACCCATGATAACCAATAAAAAGAAATCTATATATACGCCATACCTGATGCTCTCT